GGGGGGGAAGGGAGGGGGCATTTTTTTAAGCATTTTTCATATTCGGCCGTGTCTGTCCCGAACGTATCAGGTACCAAATACGCGCGCCCCACGATCGCCCCAAGCTCGACGAGTAATTTCACAAGATTCCATTTCGGCGCTTATTTCGCTACGGCAACCGGAACCTAATGCGGACATAGAGCTTCTAATTTACCCGGCCATAAGAACTTGGGGCGTCCGTGTGCCAGCGGCAGACAGGTCTTCGAATTTCGATAGGGTAGTAATAATTCTAAGTATCGTTAGCAGTGTGCCACATCGATGGCTGACTACGTCAACTTATGTCCGTAAACCAATAACGTCTTATTAAACTCTTACATAATATAGTAGCTCAAGACGTGATTGGTTGACGCAGCATTGTGTAATTATGCAGTTGAGTTCACTTTGGACGTTAGTCACGTAACACACAGTCTTACAGTGTCAGGGACGACAAGGTACGTTATCATAAACATAATGGCAACAATCATCACCTCGAGGAGATGAAGGGAAAGCCAGAGTAAAAGCAGTGTGTAACCCTGCTTCTACCTGTGTGTTTTTATTTCTTAATATTTTGCATTCGTTTAATACTTTCTTCGCTCGTTTGATAAACTGTATGTTGAATGTCAACTACTGCTTAATTTCATTTGTTCTTTTAATTATTTATGTACATCTTGATCATCACCTGATCTCTGGCATGCTACACCTTTTGGAAAGCTCCTTGTCAATGTTACAACAAATTAAAAGTTCAGCTCTCTAAGTCAATTTTTCAGAGTTTTAGGGGCCCCCAAAAAATTAAGCCAAAGCTAAGTTGATATTCTAAAAGTTAGCGGTTAGCGGTAAATTCAGCTAATTTTTTCGTCGATTTGTCGGTTTACCGTTATAAAAGCTAACTTTTCAGTTGGCGGACTGACGGTTGTTGAAGCTAACTTTTCGATTAGCTGTGCCCACCATTAATTGGGTATACCAGAGTGAAATCGATGTGTTATGAATTGGGTATTTTTCGAAGTATTACAAATTATTAGAGGGCAAATTTCCGAACTTGCCATTGAACATGGCAAGGTTAGGAAGGTTACGAATTCCAACTGAAATTTCGACGGTAGCAACTGATCTATTCTTCTTTACAACCACTGTAGGCAGAATTTTATAGACTCGTGCAAAACAGTTCGATATACTGTACAAACAAGTGACGTGTCGTGAGCTAGTGAGTTGTTAGCAAATAACCCTGAATGTGACACGTGCATGTAGGAGGAAGTAGGAATGCAGTCGTCTCGCCTTGAATTGCATTACCGCAAACAATTAATTCCATTTTATGTACTTCGTACCTGGAAACACAGGAATTTGCTATCATATTGAATCTGCGCTATGTTGAAATGGTTAAAATTGAGCCCTGTGGATACACTAGTCTGTTGTTTGCAAGTATTTTGGGAGAACTTTGTTGACTGATTTAAACGGTTATTGCAGAAGAATGCTTGACAGTATATGTGATTGTTTGGTGATGGAGAATATGAGAGATGGTTTAATACTGTATAAGGTGAGAGAATGTTTTGCTCTGCCGTATGTATGAATGTTTGGTACACGCAATAGGTAAGAGTGTTTGGTGCGGGTGATTGGGGTGAAATGTTTTGCCGATGGATAATGTGGGATAATATTGGGCGGTGTGGAATATTGGAGAATGTTGACTGTTGAGTGCTAGTGAATGTTGGAGATTGTTTTGTTCGGCAATGTTAGAGAATCTGGCATTCTAGCAAATATTGGAGAATCTTATGGGTATTGTGGAAAGTATGTGTTCTAAGTTGCATTAACTTTTATTATTCCCTGTCAAAATTAGTGATTCCTCGCCATTTGCATAATTGTGCCGCCCGCTGTGTTACATTTTTACGTTTCCGTCTAGTCTGCACTAATACATAGCCTACAGCGATTCAAATGCCCCCACCCTTTCCCCATTATAAGGGGGAAGGGAGGGGGCATTTTTTATCGCACTTTTCAGGTTCCGCCGTGTCCGTGCCGAAGCTATCAGGTGCCAATTACGCTCGCTCTACGGTTAGCCCAAGCTCGCTCGGTTAATGACCGGATTCTGATCAGATTCTTATTCCGCTCGTAAAGCGGACATTATAGAGCCGCTAATTTACGCGCAGGGCGACTTAAAGGTGTCTTCAATTCAGAAGCTAACCACCCTCAAAATTTTGGAAGGAAGCACTCAAAGCCTATGTAGATAACGATAACATTTCCTCGGCCCTCCTCAAAACATCATCCCGCAATATTCAAAGCTTAGATAAAAATCACTAATATTTCAGGGGAGAAGCCCTCTCTTTCTACACTTGAAGAACATTGGAAACGAAAAGTTTCCGGTTGTAACGGAAATCAAAGCCAAACATGAGGAAGCAAGTATTCAAGTATGTGCAACGCTTAAACTAGCACGACAGTATTATTTAGTTTTTGAAAGTATTAATATTTTATCATTTATATTTCTAATAGAGACGGTAATGATCAAAACTTTTGTGAACTATTGCCCCAATTCATTAACAATGGAGCTCGAAAAAATTTCAAACCGTCCACTAACCGTACAATGTGACGCAGTGAACAGATTAGCGTGGTAAGAAAGTGGTGTATCTGTTGATCGTGACTGCCAAGAACCTACGCTTAGATTGACTTGCTTTTCCTAAATCAGTCACAAATCTTTACATAAATTGCATTGATTCAGAAATTTGAATTATTTAATCATCAAATTTCTTTGTTTAGCCTGTCATGAATAATCAAATGTTAATGTTTAAAAATTGATCTAAAATGATGCAAGTGGCCGTTGTATTTCATATGTAATTTGTTTGGAATTCTTATTTAATATTTTCTGGATGTTATGAGATGGACGTTCAAATCTACCGACATCTTAGGTCGTTTGGTAATATTTTCCGGTTTTTGGTTATCTTTTTCTTATACTTCTCATAATTTCTTCAATAATTTTTACCTAATTTACCTTCAATCATATTCAATTGCTTTGAGCGTAACTACAGTGCTAACGAAACTAGTTGTCCCTTTCACATACAATTTTTTTTTTAAAATATCCCCCTGAGAATGTTTTCGATTAAAAAACCAACCATAATTTCAGATTAACCTGGCCGTCGAAGCGAAATTCAAGATGGCGCCGAAGCAGGACTACGCGATTGGCATCGACTTGGGCACGACTAACTCGTGCGTGGGGATCGTCAGGAACGGGCGCGTGACTATCATCGCCGACGAGCTAGGTAGTAGCCTCACGCCGTCGTTTGTGGCGTTCACTGACGAGGAACGACTTATTGGGGAGTACGCTAAGGCTCAGCGCACCATGAATCCTGCCAACACAGTATACGAAGTGAAGAGACTCATCGGACGCAAGTTCGGCGATGAAGCAGTGCAGAATAAACTCCCCCACTGGCCATACCGCGTCGTCGACGACAGCGGCAACCCCAAAATCTGCGTTCAATATCTTAAAGAGGAGAAGTTTTTCGCCCCGGAAGAGATTTCTGCGATCGTGCTGTCTAAAATGAAAGACATCGCAGAAATATTCCTTGGATGTAAAGTGAGGAAAGCGGTTATTACTGTACCTGCGTACTTTACAGACTCACAACGACAAGCTACCATCGATGCCGGAACCATTGCGGGTCTCCAGGTACTGAAAATCATCAACGAACCAACCGCTGCCGCCCTTGCGTACGGGGAAGACACGATCGTACCCAATGAGACCAACATTCTGATCTTTGACTTTGGTGGCGGGACTTTCGATGCAGCGGTTCTGAAAATGAAGAGAGGAAACTACGAAGTCAAATCTGTTGAGGGTAATAGCCAGCTTGGAGGAGGAGACATAGACTCTCGCGTTGGTGAATTTTTGATCGAAAAATTCAGGGAGAAAACTGGACTGAATGTATCAGATGATATAAAAGCAAAAGCAAAAATTGCCAAACATGCCGAACAGGCAAAGATCAGTTTGTCAGTTCGGGAGCAGCACAAAGTTCATATCGAGGGCTTAAGTCAAGGGAAAGATTTCATCTTCCCTTTAACCCGAGGCAGGTTCGAATCACTTTGCGCAGATATTTTTGCAGAAACTATGCAGTGTGTGGACAAAGCGATTAGCAATGCCGGGCTGACAACCAACGAAATTCACGAAGTTCTCTTAGTCGGCGGTTCGAGTTGGATTCCCAAGCTCAAAAAAATGCTAGAGGGAAAATTTCCAAACAAGGGAATCAAAAGGACGATCAACCCTGCGGAAGCAGTTGCGTATGGCGCAGCTGTCCAGGCAGCCATGCTCAACAACGACCGAAGTGTAGAAGACATTCAGCTGACGGATGTGACGCCGCTATCACTTGGTACGGATATTATTGGTGATAAAATGAGCACCATAATCATGCGAAATTCTAAGATACCAGTCGAATGCACTAGGAATTACACGACAACCTCCGATTATCAAAAAGCCATAGCAGTCAAAGTTTATGAAGGCGAATTTTCAGTTGCATCGATGAACAATCTGTTGGGAGAGTTCATTGTTGAAGGCATCGAAAGGGCCCTGGCTAAGGTACCCTCAATCGCGGTAACTTTTTCCCTAGACATGAACGGGATATTGAGTGCTACTGGCGTGGACCGGAAGACAGGAGGCAGAGGTCAAGTTACCATCTCCGTTAATAAAGGACGTCTCAAAAAGGAGGACATTGAGAGAATGATTATAGAAATGAAGGACATGGAGATTCAAAGCCGTGCTCTGATGAATGCTTAATTCTGCCCTTTAACTGGTGGCAGAGATCGCAAAATAGGAAAGTCTTCATGAAACACATAAATGCACTATACATTAATTCAATCTTAACCAGTTATAACCAACATTGAATTAGCATCACAATGTGGAACATGCTTTTATTTTTACTTGCATTATTTGTACATTTATTTTATATTGGTACGATAAGAATTGTTCATAATTACTTGCTGCTTCATGCTTTCTATGTACTGCGCACTTTATTACAATTAATGTTGTTATTTATAATAATTCGACTATTACAGCTTGATCTTTCAAAAAATCGTTTAAGACTTGAAGGTTAAATTCTACTGAATCCTTACTTCGTCCTCCTTATACATTCATGAGAATTTTTTTATTTAGGGTATTTATGATGGTGTCACCGGACGTGTGCCGCTACCTTTAATCTTATCAGGATGATCGAAGCTCCACGGCCAAACGCCGGCAACTATCTTGTAGAAAGTTCACTTTATTGCACTGGGATGTTCATTCATTAAAAGTCGGTTATACGAGTAAAACTTTCCTTTTATTCCAGTAAAGTACACTTAATAGCAACACGTTAAATAAAATAGTACAACAAGCACGATGGGCCTTACACTGCTTGATGGAGCATATAGAGCACAGCCACAGTAACTAGCGCTAGGGCACAAGATCGCTAGTGGAGCAGCGGAGCGAGGTGAGTTCAGTGTAGAACCTCACTGTAGGGCTGGCGGGACACGACTACTGCCTGAGACACTGCCACTCAGACCTGACTACCCCGTTCCGACTGCTATAGGTCTGACTCGCATGTCTCTAGCGCAGCTTCGCCAGACGTAATAAAAATAATTTCGCCAGAATGAATAAAAAATGCATATGAGAACAAACGATGGCAGCAATAGAATAATGAATATTAGTGAACGATATTCATCGTTCACAATGGTATTAGATTTACCGATCACTCAACCTCTGTTGTGGTCACGAATTTATTACTAAAAAGAAGGTCGCAACTTTTTTCGTTTGAGACGTTTTTCAAGTCTCACGAAATACAATTATGTAATCGGACAATTTTCAATAAATGTACAAATTATTTTATATTGAATAGTCATATTAATAGTTGAATACATTCGTAAATAAAAATTAAAATATATTCATATGGGCGTATTCACAATTTTTATCGGCTTCTGTTAGCTTGCAGCTTACCCATGATATGTCTACCACTATCGTGAAGAAATGACTTCCTTTGCAATCAATTCTAATATCGTGATGATAATATTAGGAATTATGCATTAGATTACTATAATATTATAACTTTATTCACTATATTATATTATTATTCATCAGATTATACCATTATGCTTTAGATTATTATGAGGCAGCTTGCTACTCGATCGTACGTTTGCTACTTCGCAGTAACAATTATACGTCGCTAACACACTGTAGCATTGCACATTTAAAATGGCTGGATATACGGATTTTCATCTTAGTTTTTGACCTTTATGTGACAATATAACAGTGAAAATTATGCAAATCATAATAAACACGTCCAATTTCTATGGTTCATCAGCTGCTCTTGGTATAAAAGGCTCGATCTTGAAGGTCAGTGGTCATATCTCTGAGCTCACTGTCTTTGAACTCAAGACCTTCACGTGGCATTGCACAAACTTCGCTATGTACTCTTAAAAACTTTTCTCTTGGATATAGAATTGGAACATGCGGAATATAATAATCGGATGCCAGCTCATGACATCTTGATAAAAATCACGATAATGTACATGCAATGGTTATTTCGTAAAGACTGGTCAAAATTTTTTCAATTTTAATAATTCTGTAATCGTTAGGCTGCAATTGATTATCATTTATATTAGTATTAAGTATGCCTAAGGATTCGTATTTCATCAGAATCTAAAACTGCTGCGCATTGCGACTCTATTAGTTTCTTTTGTTGCTCGCACGTGCATCGCGAGTAATGTTCTTTGGCGACGTGTTAGTCGGAGCAATATTCCAAAGCGCAATATAATTAGGTCTATTAAACTGATCACAGCATCATTTCGGTTTTGTAAGAGGGCGCAGTATTAAGTGTTGTATTGAAATGGGTTTGATCTGTATTATTGCGCTTGTCAGCTTCATATTTATAGTTGACTCAATTGAGATCAACGTTTTGCGTCAGCCTGTATTGATTCAATGTTTTCAATTCATGCCATGCTGTAATTTACTCATAGTCAGGAACCAGTAACTTTACCACGATTTTTCTAACAACTTCGCCTTGCGCTTATTATTTCAAACAAATAATGAAGCAATAAACCACGCACCTCTGAAACAGATAAGTAGCGAAATTATAGTTAAGTTGTTGCGGTCTCGAGCCAAAAAAAAGGATGCAGACCGACACCACCAAAGTAATAGTTATTCTATGGGAAGAAAGATACCATATAGTGAGAAACGCATGTAAACAAACGAGGAACAATGTTATTGAGCAATGTTCAATTTATATCGCACTGTTTCGCAAGTTTATAGCAGCCACTTGAACCCGTGCACCTTAAAATCTTTTGCGACTAAGAGGTAGACAATTTTAAGAGGCAAATAAGAGGCCATATACAGGGAAAATTTTGATAGTAGAAGGAGAGGCAGACTCCGAAGCATTAATGAATTTAACTGGAAGAAGAACTCGGTTCTTCAATCTAGGTAGGACTATATATATACATATAGATAGGAATTTAACTTCAAGTTCATTATAAACCTATGGCCAAGGTGGTTATACCACAGTAGAGGGCAAATGCCCAAGTTAAAGTCGGTGTCTGCCTCCTAAATAAAGTTAGAGCGAACATGCCTTTTAACTTAAATAAACATTATGAAAACTGAGAGTGATCACTCTAACAAACAAAAATAGAATTAAGAAGGTATGGCGTCAATTACAGACCGCCGAAGCGCGTCCATGAAGATAGGTGCTTTCACCATCAAGTTACAATGCCAACATCTCTAGCTACAAATCCATACCAACAATAGGTACGAAGAAAAAGAATCAAAGATGTTACAATTTAAGAACGTCGGAAATTTCCAACAATACCAGCGTTCAAATCTCGGAGCTGCCGTCGACGTTTATCCAGTGAGAGCAAATAGCGGTAAATTATTTGTGGCTTATCTGCATCCTTTTTAATTGAATTTTTTAGTTTGTAATTGATATCGCAAGTGTATATAGGATGTGAATGTTCGCAAACGAAGACTTGTCATTGTAGAGAGCAACGTGTCGGTGATCTCAGAGAGAGAAAGAAAAAATAATGTTAAATTGTTGTCGCGCAGTTGACAAACGGTTAACTCAACTGCCGGGCGCGCTGCCAGAGCCTAACAAGAGCGGGCGATGAGCAGATTTGAGCCGAAGGAGCTCGCCGAGAGCTGCGTGTCAGCAGGACAGGCCCGCCAGAGCAGGTGCTTTGAAGTTAAATCGCGCAGCTCCGCGGCTGGTGATATCGTCTCTAATGCGGATATTTCTGCTCTATCGCGGCTCTGTCACGTCTCTACATCGGCTCTACAACCAGCGACGGGCTGCTCTATTCCCTGCCCTAAATTTTTACTGGGAATGGCTTTATGCTAGACAGCACGCCAATAAATTTCGATAGGATTTAATTTGAATATCTTAATATTTCTCCTGAACAGAAAACTGTGCACGTTAACAGATTGATGAATGTTAATTCCGACATATTTGATTTTAATAACTCTACGCTTACACTAGCTATTGAAGCTGATCTGGATGATTTTAAAATTTCAGGTTCAACTTTCCTCAATGAGAATTATGTGGATAAAATTGTGTACTCTCATATTCGCTCGTTGTTAGGCAGCAGTCGTATGAGACTTCCAAAGACTTGCTTATGATGGCTTCACATTCAAATCTAAATCATCTACCAAGTAACTAATCATCTACCAAGTAACCAATTTGAACTTGAAGGTGAGTGGAGAACCCTGAGCGTGCCTTAGCGCTATGCGCACTGTTTAGCCTGCGCTAATGCCTTCACTACCACTACAGATTAAATCCTTCGACACTCATATTTTGTTTGACGCGGACTTAACGATGAACTTGAATCCATTTAGTCCGAGGTTACCGAATTCAAGGGCGAATAACTTCATGTAAACGAAAAAATATTCCAGATAAATCTAGTACCGTTTCAGCAAATGGTTGCGTATTTGAAATCCGTTAATTTCATTGATGACATAATCGATATCATTGGCAATGTTAATTCACTTTAACAATATATAGTCCCTTCATTCAAATTCTAACAATCAATTCCATACCGGTTGAAGCTATACTATCAATCAGTTAAAACATATAAAAAACTGATATGAATGCAAGACCGCAAGTAAAAGTAATTTAATAATTTGGTTGCTGTGTTTTTCGTAAGTCATGTACACAATAAGAAAATCAATCACTAGCTATTTCTTTATCTGATTCTTTCTAATATGAATTTGCATGGCTTCAAGTTGTTATGCGAAGAAGACAATCTGTGATTTATTTGCTGAAAATTTATTATCGCAATTAAAAATGTGCTGTGTTTCTCTTGCCAAAACCCAATTGGTTAGAGGCGATATTTTTACGCGACAACTTTTGACTATCATTGGGATTCATTGTTATAAATATTGGCTGAAAATAGTTTTTAAAATCAAACCATTGTATACATTTATTAATAATAAATTATTTCCTTATAAGAGTCCGAATCAAAAATAATTTAAATGTTAATCTAGAATCGTGATTTCTCTTTGCTTAAAACAGTTGTGCTTAAATCCATACATCGAAAAGTATGACAGTTGGGATGAATCCAAAAAGTATTCGATGAATGCTACAGAGCTGTCTTGATCAATTTTCAATCACAAAACTCAATCAGCTAAAACAATTTATTGGAACAATTTATAGTAATAACACTCGTTAATATTTGTTTTTTCTATCCATGTCGGAAAGTTCACAGCAGTTGCTTAAATGCTCGACTGTCAAAATACACAGATCAGTATAAAAGCGCAAATCATGCTGCTCAAGAGATAAATATTTATGTTCAAGCTGCGTTCCAAAATTTGTACAGTGGTAGTACAAATGTTACGTTCTGTCAATAATAGGGTCGCCTCAAATCGACACACAGGATTGCATGTCGTTCCAATTGGTAAGTCACCTAAGTCAATGAATTTCATGGTCACTCATCCTATTCTCACTCTCTATTATCACCTAATGAAATAAAATGATAAACGACTTGCTTCCTGTGTTTAACAAGCAAATAAATTAGTAATCACTGCTGTCTACTCGTACAGCTATACTACAAGTTTTAGTTTCTAGACTGATGATGGCTCTCTTAAATGAAACTTGAGACTGAAGCTTCGAGGCTTCCAATGAGGATAATATAGATAATAATCAGACTAATAGCTCGTAAAAACAAAAAGTTATTATGCTCATCAATCAGATAACCCCTGAAGTATAGTCACATATTTTTTATAAATTCTACACGCTGAGCAAGCCACAGCTCTGCCGTTATGCCTCTAATTATCTCCG